GAGTCCTCAGCTGGTCTTTTTGCAGTTTGTATTACTGGTCTCTGTTCTTCTTTTTCCTTCTCCGTAATTTGTAACACCTGTCCCTGATGTTCTCCCTGTTCTTCAGTTAATTGTTTTTCAAGCTCCGCCCCCTTTTCCTCCTCTGTCATTGGTTCCTCTAGTAACTCACCAACCTCTTCTGCAGGTGTTTCCACTTCTCTCCTAATTAAGTCATCTTGTTTTCCCTTGCCCGCCTTAACTTTGTTTGCAAAAGACTTTGGACAGTCTTTAAACAAATGGTTTTCCATTCCACACAAGTTACATTTCCTTCCTTTATCACACTCTTTAACAGTGTGTCCTACTTCTCTGCATTTCCGGCAGAATGCTTTCTCACATGCTTCCACCAAATGTCCATGCTCCCCACATTGTCTGCATAATTTTGGTTGACCTTGGTAATGAATATAGCCTCTGTTTTCCCCCAACATGATTACCTGCGGCAGGTGTTTTAATCCCTGAAAGCCCTCTGGGTCCTCAAACTGTTGGATTGGTATCCTCCATGCACAGTTCCAAATGCCGTCAATGTCCCTAACTTTCACTGCTTGCCCTCTTACATTACAAAACCTACTCAACCAAAGGCAAATGTCTTCACCACTTACCATCTCATTAAACATTCTTACGATCACTGTTTTTCTGGTATTGTCAGTCAGTTTCACAATTTCGAACATGTCGAACTCCTTTTTTACCTTATCCAGTCTTGTCCAGAAATCTTTCCATAGTGTCTCATTCAGAAAACTTACATCGAATCCTTTGTTGAAAGGCAAGGTCAGGATGCAATTTAGATCGTCTGGCTTAAATCCCAGAAGCTGTTGGATCATCTTCCGTGAGAAATCCAGACGTGACATCTTCTCCATCGTCGACCTGAAGAGAAATCGCACACTGTGGTGCCTCCTCGCATCAGTGCGAAGTGCCGACATCACGGAGGCACCACAGAGTCAAAAAGCACACAAAAGTTAACAAATTTCAAACCACTTCAAATGCCAAGTTATCTCCTTTATTTTTGTGAAAAGCTCTTGCTATAGATTAAGCAATAACCTTCTCCATCCCAAGGAGCGGATCGCAACTCGTAAAACCAGATGCAGCGTCTGATAAGAACAGGTTTTTTTTTTTTTTTACAAAATTTATTGACACTTAACATTTACATTCTCTCTTCACCCATAGGTGAGAACAAATAAAAAAAAAAGGGGGGGGGGATAAGGGGTATAACAAGCGTAGAAAGAAATGCAATGGCAATAATAAAACATCCCAAACATCAAATTTTGTCACAGTAGCCATCTCTCTGGTCCCTTTGTCCCATCACTCCCTCCACAAGTCGCAGGCCGATGGGGGGTGGGGTCAGGGGAAGCGACCCCACTGCACTCTTGGTCTCTGCCACCTCCTTCCCCTTGTTCTTTACCTGCCTCAGCAGATGGGGAGGGCCTCTGGCCTCTTTTGCCAGTCTCCCTTTCATCGTCAGGCCGCTGCTGCCCTAATCTTTTTTCTCTGGACTCCAGCTCCTTCCTCCGTTGGGTGCATGCGATTCTTCTTTGCGGCTGTGTTCTTGGCAGGCCGCCCTCTGACATTTTATTCTCCACTTGTCAGCTGCCATTCGAACGACAGCCGCGGGGGGGATCTGCATACGCCTCCTTACCCACAAGTTTCTGGAGGTCCATATGGCGTCTTTAAGGACTTCTAGAGACTTAGCTTTGCTGTCTTGCCAGTCTTGGGACACACACCGTACAGCACAGTCTGTGCCGTTAGGAACTCCCTTGCGGGTAAGTACGGGAATTTTAAGGAGCTGGCCGTTGTCCATAGATCCTGGGCAGTGCTGCACTCCCAGAGGAGGTGCCGTACCGACTCCGGTGCGCCACATCCGGGCCGGGGGCATACCGCCGTGGGTGCCATTCCTCTGGTATGCATCACGGCTCTGACTGGGAGAATACCATGTGCCGTCAACCATGATATGTACTTTAGGCGGTTTGGCATTCCAGGGCGGATGATATTTTTCCAAACCTCCTCCGCCTCCTCCCCCATCAGCCCTGCAACCGGGACTGGTATATCTCGTGCCTGTACAACAGAGATCATTAGACGTTTACTTGATAAAATTTTCTCATTTTCGTTTTCTAACTTAAAATCGTTTAAGAACACCTGAATTTTCTTGTATGCACGTGGCATAATTAGAGCCATCGGTACTCTCAAATCTCTTTCTTTCATTTTCAGTTTTTGCAAGTAAAAGCCCATCCAATATTTTATCATTGCCATGTACTTTTCATTCTCTCCTTTTCCCAGTATCTGTCTCATATGTGTTGCAGTGTAATGTGCTCCCAGGGAGAGATATATATCTGGTACGTCTCTTCCCCCTTTTTTTATCGGCTTCTTCATTTCTGTTCTTCTTATCCTCTCCCATTTGGCTCCCCACACGAATCGCATGGTCAGCCTCTCCAGTTCGCCAATCGTTTTCCTGGAAGGGAAGAACACACTTGCTGCCAACTGGAGCAAGGGGATGATTACCGTCTTTATCACCAGAACCTTTCCTTCTATGGTCAACTCCCTCTGTTGCCATAGTCCTACTTTTTGTCGTACCTTTTTCAGAACAGCATTCCATGTCTCTGTCCCTTTTCCTTCTTCATCAAACCTTACCCCTAATATCTTTTGTCCCCCTTCCTTTACCTCTGTCTCTGTTTTATACTTACAACTCCCTTCTTCTGGTGTTTCACCATACCATCTCACCTGTGTTTTCTTCTTGTTTAGCTTTGCACCTGATGCCCTTCCGTATTTCTCTGTAACCATAAACATTTTTTCCAAGGACCTTTCGTTCATACACACCACATTTACATCGTCCATATACAATACACATTTCAGTTGTCCTTTACTCCCTGGTATGTCTTGTCCTACAATATCTTTGTTTTCTCTGATCATTTGTGCCAGGGGTTCTATACAGATCACATATAGGATTGCTGATAGAGGACACCCTTGCCTCACCCCTGACCTTATCTTTATTTCTTTTGTCAGGTCCCCATTTATGATACACTTACTTTTTTTACTTTGGTACAATACTTTTATCCACTCTATACATCTTTCCGGGCAGCCTACTTTTTTTTACATTTTGAACATAAAAGTATGTGATATCCTATCAAAGGCCTTTTCAAAATCTAAATTTACCAACATCATGCGCGTCTTTCTTTCCCTTGCTAACTCTATATTATCCCTTATCATTATTAGTCCATCCATAAGTCTTCGACCTTCTACTGCACATAGCTGGTCGGAGTGTATTATCTGATCCAAGCCCATCTTCAGTCTTGTTGCTATACATCTGCTGAATAATTTCACGTCTGTATTCAGCAGTGTAATGGGCCTCCAATTCTTTGAATCTGTTTTGCCATTTCCCTTATAAATCAATGTTATTAGCCCACATTTAAAACTCTCAGGTAGCTCTTTTCTGTATTCAATATCCTGTATAGTTTCTACCAAATCTGGTCCTATCATTTCCCAAAATGTTCTATAAAATTCCACCGGTAGACCATCCTCTCCGGGGGATTTTCCACTTTGACATGCTGACAGGCTCTTATTCAAATCGTCCAAGGTAATGTCTTTGCTCATCTCTTCTTGACCCCATTTTATGTTCTTTGCGTAATTTAGTATGTCCTCCATTTCAGTTTCATTTACTTCTTTGTCATTAAAAAGTTCTTCATAATATTCATGGACTATATCTTTTATCTTCCCCGCGTCCTCCTCTTCTTTACCCTTTGAGTCTTTCAGTTTACTTATTACATCAGTTTTGCTCATTATTTTATTAAAGAAGTATTTTGTACACTTTTCCCCTTCTTCAATCTCTTTTGTTTTACTTCGTATTATCATACCTCTACTCCTTTCCCTCGCAATTTCCATCATTTGTGCTTTGATTTCTCTTATTTCTTTACCATAATTTAGTCCCTGTTGGTTTAAAATATGGTATCTTTGCAATCTCTTTTGTAATCCATTTATCACTCTCATTTCTTTTTCTTTTTTCCTTTTCCCCATCTTGCAAAAAAAAAGCTTTAGTTCTCTTTTTTATCATCTCCCACCAATCTGCTTTATGTTCAACCATGTCCTGTAAGGTTCTCCATCCTAAATATTGTTCTATAAAATCTTTTTTTACTTCCTCATCATCCAAAAGTTTACAATTCAATTTCCATATCCCCTTTCCCACCGTTATCCCTTCTTCTACATCTCCCACCCCGATCAGCATACAATGGTCTGAGAAAAACACCGGTCTTATTTCTTTCTTTCTCATTGCTATTCCTCTAGAAAATATATAGTCTATCCTAGCTGCTCTTGTTCTATCATCACTAAACCATGTCAAGTTTTCCTTTTTTTGTGATTGCCCAAAACAATCTATCAGTCTAAATTCTCTTATTAACCTCATTTAGTTTATGTGAGGTTTTGTCTAATTTATTATCTTCCTCAGGACTTTTCCTGTCTCCTTTATTTATTATGCAGTTGAAGTCCCCCCCTACTATTAGTGGCATCCTTCCTAGCATATGCTCTTCCAAGTTTTCAAACAGTGTTAACCTTTCATCTTTATTATTTGTTGCATAGACATTTATAATTTTATACCTAACACCCTTTCCTTCGATTACTGCCATCAGTGCTCTTCCATTCTCTATTATTTCACTGTCTTTTATGCAGAAGTTCTTATTGTTCACTAATATTGCGACCCCATCATTTCTGTTTTCATTTGAGCCGCTCCATACTGAATGATTTGGCCACATTTCCTTCCACCTCCTATAATGATTGCAATACATTAAAAAGCATTCCTGTAATAAAAGTATATCTTCTTCACATGTTTTTAAATATGATAAAACCGTTTGTGCTCTTAAATCTGTTTTAATGCCTCTTACATTCACTATCTTTATTTGCATTTAGAAAGATAGTGTTAGAGCACACCCAAGCTAAGCATCATCCAAGTTATTTAATATTTTCTTTCATCTGGTGTTGGGCCAAGGTTACCTTATACTGTTTGTTCCATCACCTTTTTTTACCCTGTCTTTATCCTCTTTCTCCTCTTCCCTGGCTTTATATCGTTCCCTTTTCCCTTGCTCCAGCTCTTGTACTGTGTTGGTTTCTTCAGAATTATCTTTTGGACTTGACTGACCTAATAACGGAAGAAAAGATGTTTCATTGGGAGAGTCTGATGGAAAGATTCTAGATTCCTGCAAAGATTCATCTGATACCACATCATCCCTTCCTCTTTTTCCCTCTGGAATGGGACTTTGAGGTAAAGAGTCCTCAGCTGGTCTTTTAGCAGTTTGTATTACTGGTCTCTGTTCTTCTTTTTCCTTCTCCGTAATTTGTAACACCTGTCCCTGATGTTCTCCCTGTTCTTCAGTTAATTGTTTTTCAAGCTCCGCCCCCTTTTCCTCCTCTGTCATTGGTTCCTCTAGTAACTCACCAAGCTCTTCTGCAGGTGCCTCCACTTCCCTCCTAATTAAGTCATCTTGTTTTCCCTTGTCCGCCTTAACTTTGTTTGCAAATGACTTTGGACAGTCTTTAAACAAATGGTTTTCCATTCCACACAAGTTACATTTCCTTCCTTTATCACACTCTTCAACAGTGTGTCCTACTTCTCTGCATTTCCGGCAGAATGCTTTCTCACATGCTTCCACCAAATGTCCATGCTCCCCACATTGTCTGCATAATTTTGGTTGACCTTGGTAATGTATGTAACCTCTGTTTTCCCCCAACACGATTACCTGCGGCAGGTGTTTTAATCCCTGAAAGCCCTCTGGGTCCTCAAACTGTTGGATTGGTATCCTCCATGCACAGTTCCAAATGCCGTCAATGTCCCTAACTTTCACTGCTTGCCCTCTTACATTACAAAACCTACTCAACCAAAGGCAAATGTCTTCACCACTTACCATCTCATTAAACATTCTTACAATCACTGTTTTTCTAGTATTGTCAGTCAGTTTCACAATTTCGAACATGTCGAACTCCTTTTTTACCTTTTCCAGTCTTGTCCAGAAGTCTTTCCATAGTGTCTCAGTCAGAAAACTTACATCGAATCCTTTGTTGAAAGGCAAGGTCAGGATGCAATTTAGATCGTCTGGCTTAAATCCCAGAAGCTGTTGGATCATCTTCCGTGAGAAATCCAGACGTGACATCTTCTCCACCGTCGACCTGAAGAGAAATCGCACACTGTGGTGCCTCCTCGCATCAGCGCGAAGCGCCGACATCACGGAGGCACCACAGAGTCAAAAAAACACAAAAGTTAACAAATTTCAAACCACTTCAAATTTTAAGTTATCTCCTCTATTTGTGTGAAAAGGTCTTGCTACAGATTAAGCAATAACCTTCTCCACCCCAAGGAGCGGATCGCAACTCGTAAAACCAGATGCAGCGTCTGATAAGAACAGATACTACACTTGATCTTAGCCAAAGGCCGAGAAGCGATACCACAATAGGTCTGAGGACAGGACGTCATTCCGCTCGTTAACATTCTGACTCACGGTTAAAATTACATCATTATATTTAAGCTCATAACGAAACCGCGTTAATGCCGTTTTAACAGCGTTACACGATCGCGTGTGTTGTTGAGCGGATGGAAACTGCGGAAAAAATAATGAAGTTACAAAACGCGGCTTTGCTTCCGGTCACGCGGTACACTTTGGTCCAATAAGAAACCAACGAAAGTCAAAAGCGATTCACTTTCTTCACATTTATTTTAAGTTAAGACTCAGACGTTTAACATGTGAACTGTATTCTGACGCAATCTTTGAAATGGAATAAAACTGTACTGTAAGTTAATTTCTGAGCGAGTTAGGGAAAAGAAACATGGTTAGTTTGGGTGGACCTCGTTAAACGAATAAAAACAAGGATACTGTCGTTAAAATAAGTCCTAAATAATATTTATGACGAAGACGTATTTACCAGCTCTCCTGCTCCGACAGCACCACTCAAACATCCCTCACTTATTGTGTTACTGTGGGCAATTTCTGTTATTCTTAAAGAAAAGAGTCGGAGAGAGTTTTCCCAATCGGGACAGCGTGGTCTTTTATTTGTCTTCTCACATCTTAGGACAGCCCAAAGACCCCGACAAAAGAGTGGTTCCCCTTTTTATAGCTCACATCTCTTCTGTGGAAACTGTGGGTGGAGACTTCTGTCTGGGACCCAGCAACACTTTTGGAATCACATCAAGTATTTAGCAAGTCAGATAAGCTTTGAGCAATTCTACTGGAAGCAAGCAGAGACCAAAACAGGAAATTCCTTTGGAGCTGATGTTGGAACAGCACACGAACTCTAGCCAGAAAACACTTTCAACCTAAGAACTCAGCTTTAACTCAATACATTCTGTAGATGACCTCTTGACCTTTTTGGCGCCAACAGTCCTCCCTTTGGTGGACTTGTCCACCACACATTACTATTGTAAACAAATTAGCAAGGTAGGGTATACCAATAAATGAATGCTTAACTAAGTAACAGAACAAATGAGCAACAAATAAGGATAATGTAACAATATGACCGAGGATAGAGACAAAAGGGCATAACATATGACCTTGAATCAAAAAATGCATAAAGGAGAACCCATGCCAAAACACGAGATGATTTTCCAGACTAACACAGCAGCGTTAACACGTATATGTAATGAACAATGATTAAGACACTGAAAAACAACCAATGGGTTCACAGCTGAGACAATGAAAAACTATGAAAGAATACATGAAACATGACATTAGCATTAACTGAACCCATTACTTCGCGGATGTATTGCATGCGCGCTCCGTATGGAGGCAAAAAACCCTGCCCGCTGTACTTTAACAAGGAAAATTCCTCCATGTCCCCCCCGACCCCAGGGGCGAACACCACGGCACAGAGCGTGCATGCGAGGACATTGGTGACACATGTCCTCGTCAGTGATCAAAAGAAAAAAGCACACACATATCAACAAAAGCACATGAAGATAAACAGGTGACAAATATGATGAATAATGAACGATTAGCTTTAGCGAAGACGTAATGAAACAGTAATAAGTCCGGTTTAAAACTTCATTCAAAAGAATAGAACGGAAAATACAAGTTCAGCATCCCTGTCGGCGTTGGAGGCCTTCTGCTGCAGGAGGGCTTTATGTGGACAAGTGTCCTTTATTTGTCAGGAAAGCAAAGGCATAAGTCCTTGGCTCAGTCCTCCCTTTGTCCATCTTCGTGCAGCGTGGTGGTGCCGACTCCATCCTCCCCACAGCGAGCAAAACACAACATGTCAACAAGAAAAACTTGAATTAGCACGCCAATTGCCTATAAACCCATTACCACAAAAACTTCCTAAATATTAGACCCATAGACAAAGCATCCATCCCCACATTCACACCCCCTTTCTATACTACTCACTATCCTAAATTAAAGAGCTAGTTTGCCAGCACGGCATGCAATGATTCACTCAAACATTTCCGGGCTAATGGTAAAAGCAAAACTCACCTGATTGTCTTGATAACTAGGAGTAATGTAAATGGCCGCTCGGTAAAACGACCAGAAATAAGTCCTTAAAACCAAATTTAAAAGTCATCCAGCCAATTCGACCTAAACTCAATCAGAATCACCTATTCTGATCCTCAACCTTCGACACCACTGTCAAACCCTTCATGCAACATCCACACACCCTCAAAAATGAGCACATGCTAACTCATCACTATAAGAAAACACTAGTCAAAACATGACATCCAGCACCCTCCAGAAGATCTGTCGCACCTGAAATGGAGTACTAACAGTCATGGTTATGTTATCACACTAAGTTAAAGAACTTAGACACAAACGGGAACAAAAATGATGTGAAACCTAAGAATATATGGTAAACTCATATGTTGGGTCACCTATCATCAGTAGTTCTGAATCCCCAGCATACGAGGAATTAATCCGCAGCATTATGACCTATAACAATGTCATTAATGTGCTCTAAGCACTTATCCAGAAACATGTTAGTTCTGGGCCCATTATTGGTAGTTTACCAGGAATACACACATGCTATATTCTGTCAGGATTCGTCTCTTTATTACCTCAGATCTGCCTGGCCCCTCCGGCCCATGCAAAAGCTTTACGTACACCTTAAACCCATAACCTCCCCTCGGACAAATAAAACAATCAAAGTTGTAAAACTGGAACAAAAGTAATTAGACATCAGCTAAGTGACGCCGTCATTGTATGGTTAGTGAGACTAGTCAAGTCCACGCATCTACAGATGTGACTATAATGACGTGAATGCAGGTATGGAAACCAGTCTAGGGTGTAGAGTAGTTGCATTTTACTCATCTTTCATTGTAAACAATTCCTCTATTGGTGTTGTGGTCGTCGGATGGCCTATAAAACGATGATACATTGTGGTGATGTCTTTGTCCTCTTGTTATGCTTGTCCATTGGTTATCCTCTTCACCTCCTCCAGCAGAAACCCCATTGTAATTAATCATGGATGGTTCCTAGCGGCATTCAAGACAAGAACCATACAAGTTCAGCAAACTTCTTCTTAATTTAGTTAAACTAGTCCCAGTAAAGTGAGAAGCAACACTATCCTTTAGCTTTCAGCTCAGGTATCGACGTGAGTCCACGAGAGTCCAATCTTCATCTTTTTCCATCCTCTCCCTTGGTCACCTTGCAACACCAGGAAGCCTTGCACTCCGGTCGGACAAGACGTCCCCCGAGCCGATCGCCTAGGGATTAATGGTTATGCACAAAAATGACCTAACTCTTACTGACCCTAGCCTCTGATACCTTCAACATCAGACACATACAGTTACAAACAGCAAGCGCAATTAAAGGTACAGTGACATCATAACATGGACACACACGGACACACAAACACATACACATGCACACACACACACAGAGAGAGAGATAGAGAGAGAGAGCGAGAATGTGTGTGTGGGAGAAAAAATGAGTGGGATCCACTTTGCCACCAGCATCTCCACCTGTGTCACAGAGAAAAAATTGCAAAGAAATTAAAACATAAAGCAAACAACAATAATTCAATGAGTATAAATGATTCAACTAAAATATACAACCATGCATGGTTTTTTATTTTTTTTTTATTTATTTTATTAAACAGTTCCAGTAGCACTGGCGATGCCTTGTGCAATGGATTCTTAAGAAGGTCTTCATCAATTAGAGATTATAACCGAATTGTTTCAGGATCCTGAATTTAAATTTGAATTGGTTAATTTACTCAGAATAGTCCAATGGCTTTGTTGATGTTTCTCAAGGCTCGGCCACGCCCATATAAATAAATGAACAAACAAACAAAACAAACACAGTCAAGCACACGGTCCATACACGTCTCTGTGCCCTCACACACCAAGCAAATGTCAGACTTAAGCGAAAGTTTGAAATTCCTCATGCATGTTAGTAATTACATCAAGAGATTCCATACACTTCTTAAACACCTAGATTATTTCTGGAAAATGCTCAAACTGCAAGAGCGGGACGCGCACAACTAAACTACTTATTCTCTCCAGTCTGTGTCTCCGCTTGGTTTAAATGAGCCACTTAACCGAACACTAAATCAGGGGAAAGAAAAAATAATACCTAAAGCGTGTGATCAAATTAATCCAACAAAACTTCCCATGGCTACTGTTCTGAACTCATGTTGCGGTGTGATCTCTCCTATTAAAAATTAGGACAACCACTTTACTATCAATTCAACAAAATAGTTTCAGGTTTCCCAATGTCCCTTACTATTCACCCCAATTATGAACCTTCTTTCTTATTTTCTTTCCTTTTTCCTTTAAGAACCTCACTAGCACAAGAAATCCTAAGAATTAATTCACTACTTAAGGTTAATTCATGAATAACGAAACTGCAGGTACAGGTTTGTTTGTATATGTGGGCAGTACAATACTATTGTTTTGTTACTTACTATTGTTTTGTTTTAGGTGACCTTTTATATTTAGAGGTATTATTGTATTGTGCACCAAGGGAGTGGCACTCCAATTTCGTTGTATCCTGTACAATGACAATAAAGGCTATTATTATTATTATTATTATTATTATTATTATTATTATTATTATTATTATTATATGGCATTGGTCATCAGCAGTTTTCCTTATTTCCCCACTTAGAAGTGTACTTCTGTGCTGCTTCTCCATCTATAACACAAGTTAGTATCATCCTTAAAGCATCTGAAATTAAGCTGCATTGCTAAATCAATAACGTGATTTGTGCTAAGTAATACTCCCCTATCCTCTTCCTTTTTCCAGTGGCACTGAATGACAGATTTTAGATCAATTTAACGTTTTATTACTATTACATTTCATTTAATTAATTTTCCTTTTTCTCTCTTATTTTTTATTTATTTATTTATTTATTTATAATGCCATCCTGTGATGATAAACTTAAAGACTTTTTCCTTTAGCCACTTGTCGTCCCATTCTCATCCCTCCTACAGCAGTTATACTCTGCTGCTGGCGTCACGAACAGGAAGCTGGGCTGAACAACAGGATGTCAGTTCACACGTACACAGAACACTGCTTTTAGCTCCTACACTCCAATTCCCATGCAGCATGAATATAGCTTCATTTACCTTCAGTGACACCTAATTTAAGTCAAACCAAAATTTCAGTTTAGCCAATTTTGGCTGTAGCCAAATCCAAATGTTCTCGCA